CCACTGAAATTTTTCGGCACGCGTCAACACCGACGGAGAGCACCGATACCGCGGCTCGCTCTATCGCTCTCGCTCGCACGCCGTGACGTCACCCAATTCCCGGAATCCCGCGGCTACGAGATGGCTCATTATGGTAAGGCTTCTCGCAAGGGAAATTGTAAGCCGCCGGCCAAAAAGTAGATTTAATAAATTATTTATGAAACTACATCTATTCTGAATTTATCTGTTACAAATATACAAATGTAAAGCAAGATATAAAAACGAATAAAACAAGAACATGTAAAAAGTAACATTAGTAAAATGTCCATTAACGATGCATTTAGAATAAATTGTCTTGTAGTTAAGTGAAAAAATATATACTTTTCCGTTTCATGTTTCATGACTGTTATATTTATCCCTTAAACTTAAACTGAAGAAATCATATAGATACACGTAATATGAATGGAATATATAACACTTCATTTATGCTAATAATACTCAGAATTCATGCTTTATCGGTAACGTCGGGTATTGACACTAAAATGGTAACAGGGCTACGTAGCCCTATGAACGTAGGACAGAAAAAAGCATTGGATGTTAGGTCTATTCTATACCTAGTCGGTGATGGTAGCGACTTGGTGGCAGAAAGTGGAACTAAACCTGAAACTTCTTAAGTACAGTAGACATTCATTTCCCGCACTAATCGGGGTTGTAAAAGACCAGAATTCCAGGCCGTGCAGGAATCCGTGACCAGTTACCCGAGCGCTTTTCCCACCACTCGGCCGTTCAGTCGTGCAACGCAGCTATATATAGGGTGGGCTGGATATGAGCACTTTACGGTTACATTAATTATCTCCGTTATTTTTAGAGATATTAGAAAAGTTTATTCACAGAAGTTGTTCAGTATGAAGAGGGGTATTACTTAGCAATAGCAAGTTTTACGTAGGTGGAGTATCTTCTAAGTTTTCAAAGTTAAATGTGTTATTTTTATTAATGATATTGAAATATTATGGAATAAAATACTTTTATTACATAAATCGATTCTTCCAAACATTCTGCATAATAAAGTATTAAGATATTATGTGAAAAAGGTAATAATTCGTGACATATTTTGGTGGCAAATGTCTAGCTTGGTTAGCATCTTTTACCCATTACGTGTGATCCGCGAGATAAGAAGGAATCAAATTACCACCAATATTCATTGCACCAATAAAAACATTATTAAAACATTATTATATACATTTCGCTTTCTGTGATGAAATATTTGAGTTAAACGCGACACTGTATGTGTTCCGGCCTGGGCGTGCTGGGCGACAGAGTAGGGTACGCGCACGTGTGTCAGAAATACATGTGAGCAAGGGGCGTGGCTTCCGTGCAGATAACGGAAGCGCGGGAAACGAATGTACTGTACATAGATCAGTGGCCTCCACACAGCCGTGGGAGAATCCCCCACCAATAGCCTCATTAGAAAGAGAGGAAAGCTACTCCAGTTATTGCCTTATCCCTCTATGTCAACTTCAACCCTGGTATAAGACCGCGTAGTCTATTACAGCTATTATATCCATGATTATACATGATTATGGGTGGAGGTTGGTGGAGGTTACTCGGGTTACTTCATTAAAATTTAACCGGTCCGATACAGACGTCTATTTAAAATAAACTAGAATAAACATAGACAGACTGACAAGAGATAGACAATATTTGAAATCTCGTGTGGATCATTAAATTTTGTAATCGCAGTGCAAGGTGTCATGTCCAAGCATGAAGCGATAGAATATAAGTTTGACATATGATAATAGTGATTCGTATTGTTGGTACTGTTCTTGCATTGTAAATATATTTCGAGAACGTTTGGAAAATGATGGAAGTAGATTGGTGTGTACATTATACTTTTATTATCAATTTACAACAAATAGAAAAATATCGAAATTTTTAAATACTTTATAGGATTGCAAAACCTGTGAATTATAAAACAATAAGATTTGCCTATTTAGAAGAAGCGCTGGATCATCCCTTAAAACCTGTCACTGTAATGGTAAAATATAATTTAGCTATACTAAGAAGAATAAAAATATAATTTATCGATTACATTATAATGCTTTGTCATGTGTAATTATAACAGTATTTTGACAGTGATGGTTCAATTTGGTTTTTACTTTAATAACATGGTTGCAGTTAATTGATGGACGTACTGGAGCTAAGCGCAATGCATTACAACATACAAATAGTAGTTCATCAGTTGGTACACCAGTACCACTTATTGGAAATTCTTTAACAGATCCACTATTGAGTCATTCTTCTCTTGATGGTTCAGATCCCTTGTCACAATTTGCTAGAGAAGAGTTAGATCCTTTGTCTAAAATGGCTGCAGATGAGGTTTTTGAATTAATACATGTTTAAAATGTTTGATTTCTAGTCTTTTACGGTACATGATATTTATATTTGGAAATGTAATGTTGATTTTATAGTGGGACTACTCTTGTAATGTTAGTGTTACTAGCAAAAAGTGTAAGGATACTGCAGAAGAATTAGTAGAACCTTGGTCAACGAGACGTACTGCAATATTGAATAAGTACACAACATCAGAAAAGTTGTCAATTGTTACTAGCTTTTTAACAGGTGGTGAAAAAGGTATATCCTTTTTGTATTTACGAATACAGCATATTAGATAATTCATTGAAAGCAGTTACACTACAGAAACTTATTTGTTATAGTTGTTGTTAAAGTTCAACCAAGTGGGGGAGTGGTTGATAAAGTACGGACAAGGTTAGAACAATTAGATGATTTTGAAGAAGGATCTGTTCGGCAAATGTTAGATTTATCACAGCAACAATATGCTGCAAGAATTGAACAGTTGAATAATGAGCTCGTGCAAGCATGGCATTCTGATCAAAGGGTTAAGGCACTAAAAATTGCAATTCAGGTTTTCCATTCATTAATTTCATATTATTCATTATATTTAAAGAAATATATAAATTAATGTTAAATTATTTTAGTGCGCCAAATTGTTAGTAGATACATCTGTTATGGCTTTTTACCCCAGCAAATTTGTTCTTATCACAGACATTTTAGATATTTTTGGAAAACTGGTGTATGAACGATTGAAAGTGAAGGCTGAATATTACAAGTTAGTATTAGACTCTTGTAATTACACTGAAATTTTATTTAACAATAGTTCTTCTACATTCCTGAAAATAGTTTCGATTGAGATGTTATAAAGTAAAAGTATACTTTATAATTATTTTGTAGGCCAGGAAGCAAAGTGCCAACGAGTTTACCTGACAGTTTTACACCAGATATGGTACCTGAAAGTGCAAAAGAAACATGCAGAAATTGGTTTTATAAAATTGCATCAATAAGAGAATTAGTTCCACGGCTTTATGTAGAAATGGCTATAATAAAATCTTATAGTTTTTTAACAACAAGGTAAGATTCAGAAATATCTTTTTTGGACATTACATAGGAAGAGAAACTACTTCTCAAAATATGCAGCTTTTACTTATATAGTTCATTTGAAAATTTGCATGACTGTGTGTCATATATATGTATATTCGTAATTATTTTCTTTGTGATCTCTTATAAAATTATTAACTGAAGTTTTTATTATATATGACTTTTAGCATATTGTATTTATACAATATATTACTATTCTTTAGTTTATAGTAAGTTCAATATAGTTCAAATAGCTGAAAAATCCATGTCAAAAAAGATACTGTGTATATAAAAACATTGAGGATTGCCTCCAGATTATAAAAACCAGTAAAACTAATACGATAAACCAGTAAAGAATGTTCTTAACTGAGAGCAATTTTCTAGAAAAATGAGTAGGAATATTTTTTTAAAACAGATCATGCGAAAAGAGAATTTATGTTTTTTTGTTTAGACCATGTTAAATTATTAAGTGTATTATACTTTCTTATCTATTAAAAAATGTAGGTCTTGTGAAAAATTAAGGAATACTGAAATTTTTAAAGTTGTAATCTTGAGAAAAAATATTTTTCTGTCATAATCAGTAATTTTACCTCAATGTATCTTTCATCAAATGTTTTTTATTGCTAAAAATAGTGAATATATGTTATGTTAGAAAAGATTACTTCAGTCATAAGTGTACATACATATTGTACACACAACAGGTTCATGTAATGTTATTATTACTTTGAAACTCTTTATTTTCAGTGAATTTAATAAAGCATTGCTCAGAAGAACTCAAATGATACGAGGAATTGGAAATCCTCTTATAGCTGTATATGCTAGATGTTACTTATGTCGTGTGGGGTTAGCTTTAAACAAAACGTCCGACTTTGAATTCGTAAGAGAAAATTTTTATGATTTTCTTTCTACATATCAACAATTATTCGGCCAATATGTGCAAGCAGAATTGATTAAGCAAAGTATGCCTTTACATTCCTATTTGAATCTATACTCGCCAGCTTTAGATTGGATTTTACAAATTTTGGTGGCTACAACATCTGAAAATCTTTTGGAGGATGTACTGTCTCAATGCAAAAAGCAGAAAAACAGGTGATTGCATCACTTTATACTGTGCACATATAGACGGTGTCCCATGTAACTGAGCCAAGCTAGAGCTTCCAAACAGTAGGAGGTAAAAACAAATGTCATAGGACACATGCACAACTGTTTTAAAGTTATAGTTCGATACAGTTATGTAGGAGATCCTGTATGTGTACATATATAATAAATGAATAGTATACTTTATGAAGTAATTTATTAATTCCACTTGTTTCTTCTACAGTTCTTTATTATTAAATAGTATTTTAACCGCATTTAAGCCTGCATATATTGCTGCACATGCAATGGATTTTGTAAATTTGGTAATCGCAACTGAAGATGATGGTAATTTTAAAACATGGTTCAGTAATACATAAAAATTTAATATTTTTGTAGCTGATTTCTTATCATTTCGCAGGTTATCCACAATATCTTTTGTATAGAAGTTTAGGTGAATGTTTAATACAGGGATCACCACCAAAAGAAGATTGTCAAACAATTCTTAATATAATATGGAAATACGTAACAGATTTAACAAATCCTAATAAGTTTATGCCTTGTGTGGAAATTTGGATTCAATTTACAGCAATACATTTTTCTGTAAGCTATTTTCACTGGCTAGTAAAACGGCATTTGTTTCTTATATTTCTTATTGCAGGTAAACGAGTTAAATCTGTTTTTTGGAAAACTGATCGATCGACTGAATCCGAACAAAAATTTCGAGCATTATTATCCACAATTGCAAAATATTATGGAAAAAGTTGTAGCTCATACACAAGATTTTGAGTCTCTGTTCGCCATGGTAATTTTCCACTTATCCGTTCCTTTCTACGAATTAATACGTTTCTTAAATTATATGCAGAAAATATTCTAGGAGAAATTTTTCAGGACAATTTCTTACCATTTATCGATTTGTTCCACAAGGAAACTATTAAAGTTGAAGTTTGTAAATCTATTATAGAAGGTTTAAGTGCTCAAGGCGGTTCTATTACCGATCCTATTGTTATAAATGCTCTCATGTTTATCGCAAGAATAATGCACGATTCAGTTAGGTAAATGTAATTTTCTTGTTTAAAAATGTAAGTATTTATTGTCATGTAACAAGTCAATAATTTCAGTGCTTTAACCGTTGAAGATGAGAAACGACAGATCGGCCAGCTTATATGCAGCTTAGTGCAACGTGTTGACTACGATCGCGATTTTGAAAAACAATTGAATTTTTACGCCGAAGCTAGAGCCGCTTTCCCCAATCTCGATAGTGTACATGTACAGCTTGTACAGGTAGGTAATAGATCGATAATAAGTGATTTGCAATATGGGGTAGATATTTTCTCAAGATATTGTCATCGACATTTCTCTACGGTTAGTGTGTAAATAGATTAGCGGTTGACACACGAAAAATTGTTCGTGGACATCATACTAGAAGAACATCGGCGTTCGTCCGTGCCTGTGCTGCGTTCTGTTTCATTACCATTCCATCGTTGACATTGGTTCATATACGATTACAGTTGTATTTGCTGTCAGGTCAAGTGGCACTTTTAAATCAGTGTTTAGGTCAAGGTAATTAATTCCAATCGCCTAATATGTATCACTTGATCAACAATTATAATCGATTAAATAATATTTCCTTAGCTGATGCATGTTTTAAGGCTGCATTAAGCTTAGTTCCAGAAATGCCAAAAACAATAGACATTGACGGAAGGCAGAAAAACTCGCAGCCGTATTTACTATCATACCTGTCGAATTTTTTATCAACTTTGTTAGTGGTTCCGGTATGTTTTTACCATAAATTTTTTCTTAAAGAGCTTAGAATTAATGAATGGGTGTCTAGAGAAAGGGCGTGTGTTATGAATTTTTTAAAAGGCGTTTTCCGTGAAACGAGAGCCAATGTGATGTCGAAGACGCTTTGGCAAAGTTTTTAGTACCCGATAATGGCGCTAGAGGTCAGGAGCTGCACAGAAAAAGGGAATGAACAGTGATGTTACAGTGAACAATGAACTGTTGTTACGTAGTCCTGTAAATTGTATGAAATGTAACATGCGCCCTTCTTTTAGACACCCATTCAAATAAGTAATAATCGTATACAAAACAGACTAAAAAAAACTGCGACAATTTCATTAGGATAGCCCAGAATACGGCGTTTTGTATTTGATGAGACGTTTGCTCCATGCTGTTCAACGTTGTTTCGAAGAAAATGTATCAACGAAGTCATACTTGTATCTACGCGTACTTGATTTGTTGTCCGTAGTGACACAGGAGAATTATCCATACCATGTTGACAAGGTATTTCGAACGTAACTGGAAGCATAATACGTTTACATACTGTATTAATGTAAGAAGGATAGCATTATTATTCTATTTAAATAATGTATCACAATTTTCATTACACGTAGGTCGATGCTAACGATAAGTTGTATGGATCCGATCAAAAGTTCATAAGTGAAGCGAACAAAATATGCTCGAAAATTGTAGACGAGATTTTGTCCCATTTAAAGTATCTTGGATCCACTGATCAACTCGAGAAACAGGCAAACCTTGCACTCGAGCTTTTCAATTGTTTCGTTATTAGAGCCGATTTACGTGATCCGTCATTAGCGTGCATGGCTGTGAATTTATGGAATTTGTCTCAACGACATAATTTTATTGATTCGAAAGTTAAGGTAAAAGGGAGCAGAACTAGTTACAAGTGAATCACTTAATTAACGGAATAAATTTCATTTTTTTTTTTATAGATGAAAACAATTGCTTATATGGTACAAAAGAGTCATCATAAGGAGTATGAACATTTTGCGGACATTTTAAAAAAGATGTCGAAATAAACATCTAATCTGTTTATTTCACATGGTTTAAAAGTCAGTCGGCAACAACTTTTGCCAAAGACAAGATTGTTTGTACATATATATTGCGTTTTTAATTAACTTTAATCAAAATATGTCGTGTACATAATAACTCGAAGCAAGTATAAATAATTTGTGTATAAGTCTCATAAGTTTGGTATAGATTATCAGTTTCCTTTTGGTTAAACTGAATTACATTATACCATAAAATATTGATAAATTTTTTACATAAATATAAATAACATTTATACTTTAATTATTGTCTATATTGACCTATTACACGATAAAATTGATATACAAAAATAATGCACTGATTAAAAATAGAGACCTTATGGTATTTATTATCTTAATGGAAGACTTTTGACTTTAAATCTCACGAAGAATGTAGCTCGGAACGGTTAATATATTATTTATATCATTATTTTTTCAAGACTGATCGGAGTGCCTCTAAAAATACATCCGCGTGACTTTCCGTAAACGTTAAGGCGGGCCTTAACCTCACCGCCGTAGAACCACAGCCACCAGTTTGGATACCTATGCGACAAGTGATTTTTGCATTACAGTTTGTTAATAGAAACAATGTGATTTAACCCTTTCCGAACGGAATTATTTCTTTCGAGTAAAAAATAATGCATATAGTCATTTCTTGGATGCCAGAAAAACAGGAAAATTAACAAACAAAAATTGTTCATAAGTATTATTTTCCAGAATGTATCCATCTAACGGCAAAAACTAAACTATACCATACGATGCCATATTGAATCTTCAGGCTCATAATAAGAGTTACAAATGCAAAGTAAGTTAATAATTCTAAATGGAATCCTATGATCGGAAAGGGTTAATATATGATAGGAAAATTACCTTTTGTTAAGAGATCCTTAATTATTCTGTCCCGGAGTTCAGGGGAAGCACAATTGAATGCTATGAATGTTCCACGACCACGAACCGAATTAATAAGCGTAGAAAATTCATTTTGCACATTCATAAGCTGTTTCAACGTGTAATCGCCGACACGCTTAACTCTATCCAGAAGATTCTCCTTTTGTATTGTTTCTAGTACCGCTTCAAGCAGTATTACTTTACTAGGGTCTCCCATCCAGGTGTTAAATACACGGTACGATTGCTTGGGTCTGTAACAATACGTTGACAATTACATAGTGTATCATATTGTAGATCACGAATCTTCAAATGATCAACTTGTGCCTGTAATTTACTTTAACGCTTCCGTGTGGTAGTAACCACCCAGTTGCATTTTTTTACTGAATGTCACCAACTCTGGCGGAGATTCTAGATTGAAGTGTTCATGACACCACATTTTACCAGTTGCGCCTCCTCCTGTTTGTACTTCGTCCATTAATAAGGCTGCTCCATGCTGAAATATTAAAAAACGTATTATTGTGATACGTGTAGTCCGAATATTTTAATATTTCATAAAGTGACAGTAAAGTATAACTTTTGAAATGTGATTTATACATAAATGAATTTGAGATATGATTTATTAGACGTGTGATTTAAATATGAAATATAGATTTGAGAATTGAAAGTACATGGAAGTAGTTATCACCTTTCTTGTTATGCGTTGTAATCTTTGGAAAAATTCAGGAGAAGCATGGTTATCTCCTCCTTCAGATTGAATTGGTTCCACTATTACACCAGCGACAGGAACTTTCTTTTCTTTTCTGTATTTTTCAAATAGTTCTTCAACCTGACAAAGCAACGTTACTATATAATATTGTGTAATTGACACGATAATTTAAAATTGTGGAATATAGAACAAAGAAACCATGTGAATATATTTAGTGAAAATTATACATACTTCGGCTAGACAACGTTAGCTGGAATATCTATTTTGTGTATGTATTTACTATGCGTTGTCGAGAGAGATCCCAATGTTCTGCCATGAAAAGCACCTGTAAATAATATTTCTGTTACTTTCTCCATTTATTTCACTGATCGATGAATATGTGAGATGTATTTTGGTTATTCTAGTGTATTATCGGATGTGATCACCTTTGAATGAAAGTATTGAATACCGTGGTGCACCAGGTACTTGATTGATCATGCAACTTTCCATTTCTTCTCTTGTGAATGGGGCACCTTCCCTTTGTTTCTCAGCGTACCAAATAAAAATGTTTTTGAAAGCATTCTCATTGGAACAGGAACCACACATCATAGTTGTGAGATGAGATAATCCTGGGGGAGCAACCTAAATATATAGTAAATATACACCATTACAGACATTATTTTACTACATTAAAAATGTAAAGCATTATTAATCAATTACGCGATGTTCTTGGTACCTTACCCCTTCTTTAAGCATGTTTTTTTTTAGTCTACTCGGCCAATCCTTTCCGGGGAATACGCCTAATGCCGGTCTGTTGGCCATAATTTTCTGTTAATAATATTAAATAGTAATTAATATTAAAGTGTGAATAACAAATGATAATAACATAAAATAGCATGAAATATTGATAACAACTATGTTACTGTTTTTATTAATATTACATAATTACGAGGGAACTTTCTAGAGAGTAGATTGTAGGGGACCACAATAGAAGTGTCAGGTGATTTGCTTTTGCTACTTGCAGGGGGAAAACAACCCTTAAAGGTTAATATGTGTTTTCCTATTTTTCTGTATATCGTGAAAAATGTAGATATGAACAAATTATTACAATGAAAATTTAATGGCTTCTTATGTTCTATAAAACTCTACAATTGATTTGTTAAAAATTTGTTGTTTAAATAAACAAATTCTCAACAATTTCATTGCACAGTATTATACAGCATAAGGAGCTACTCAATGAGTATTTTAACAATTTTTTTACATTCACTACAGTGTTCAAGACACACAGGAAAATAGGAAAAATACGCGTAACTCTTTAAGAGGTGTTTTCAACCTCAAGAACCATAAAATGACAAAAAACAAAGTTATCTTTATTAAGATCTTCTACAGCCCTACAAAGTTTTGAAAAAAATCAACATTTTCAGGACAATTTTATATTTTTTAAATACTATCGAGTGAATTATTTCGAAAAAAAACTGGATGGAAATGTACACGGGATGTGTTCGTTTACCTGATTAACGGGATCGGCGAGGGCTCTTAACATAGCCGGGTGATTGTAGCCTAAAGGCATCGACGAAATTTGCATATACACGTCCAGAAGAGCGTTCCCGTCTACATCCATTATGTAGTTACCTGTTGATTTTTCGTAATCCGCGAAGAATTGTACGGAAGAGGCTTGCTGAGGACACATAAATTTCCGAAATGTATCCGAATTTCGTCACTATTTACACACACGCGTATTCAGTGAAAATCGGTCGTTGTAAATAAATGTGATTTATTTTCTTCATTCGAGCATGATAATTTTATCACTTCTGTGACATGCAAGAACAAGAACTTGTACTTAGTAGACGATTTGTTTATCGGTAATTATGACCCTTGTAATGCTACAAATAAAACCTTTCAGAGAACTGTTCGGAAGACGTGTTTTACATAAATTCAATTCGCAGTTTTAACTATTCGATGAATTGGGTTGATACGATCTCACTGCAGTGAGTATTTACACATATATTAAAAATTATGCGAATAAAAAAAACAGAATAAAAAAGGTGATAGTATGCGGAGAAAATATCAGCGAGACAATAAATATTTTTGTGTGTTTATTGAATATGCAATCAATGTAAGGGTCACTGATATGTGAAAATTGGAAAGTGTTGTATGTGCGATATTAGAGAACATTAAAACATTTTTCTTTTTTTAAAGAAAATAGATAATTTTATTGAACACTACTTTCAATCATTGTTTCTTTTTCGTTCTATATTTACTAAATAAATAGATTTTTTTTAATTTCAATATTTCATCTGAATAATCATGACTATTTCATTCCAATACTTTCGCTGTTAGAGAAAACATATTTTGAAATGAATAATAATTGGAGCAGACGGTTCAGTTCATTCGATCAAATATTAACTATTCCACCATTTTTAAAGAAACTTTGTAATCTTCTCGAGATAATTTAAATGCAGATTCTATTTGAAGAATATTTGTTATTTGTTTTCATCATCCTATGCCGTTTTAACTAAACAGAAGATTGGAAAGATACGTTTTGCATCTGAATTGTATCGCCGCCATATTGGAACTAAAGGGCATCAGTTATTGGTACAACTTAATATCTAAGAAAAGATTAAAAATTAAAGATTATAAATCTTTTCTAAAAACTACAGCTAAATACTACCCCGAGCGTGAAGTATTAGGTGTATCAATAAGTAATTCACTATACATAGTTCCAATATGGCGGCGATACATTTTAGATTCAGAATATCCTCCCAATCTTCTGTTTAGTCAAAATGCCAGATGATGATGGAAACAAGTAACGAATATGTATTCTTAAAATAGGAGGTGTATTTGGATTATCTCGAAAAAATTACAAAGTTTCTTAAGAAATGGTGGACTACTTACTGGTACACCTAATCTACAGGGTGTCCCACCTAACGTGAACACCTTAAATATTTTATGTATTCTCGGTTTTCAGAAGAATTATTTTAATAAATGTTCAAAGTGATGTCCATCAACTTTGAGACATTTTTGCACTAATCCATCTATCAAGTTATTTTATTATTTAAATCTACTCTCATACATTTGTGGATTTTTCGTACTCAAGGTCAAATGGAGGTCACACTATTATAGATCATTAGATTGGTCTTGACCTCAACTAATATGCTATGCTGATAAAAATATGTAGTTCCATTAAAAAGAATATCGATGACCTTGAAATTTCGAAAGATATGACCTTCAGAAAAATTTTTACTCATTATAGTATTTGCTCCTTCTAATCAAGTAATACTTTTCCTTCATATTTTTGGATCTTCAAAAACAAGTCAGATATTGAAGGTGCTCCCGTCAGGGGGGCACCCTATATAAGTGTCTTTAACACGTATTTCATTTTTTAAGTCTAGTAATTAAAATTTTATACGGTACAAATTGAAATTAAAGGAAAAACGTCTCAGAATATTCATATATCATTAGAACTACCAGCGTTATGTGTATACTAAGTAAATTGCATAATATATTAGTACCATATATTGTTTAATAAATTGAAGATCCCCAAAAATTCCAACAAAATAACCTATACTATTTCAGTAATTGTGTAACAAAAAGGTTCGTCGTTTTGGTGAATTCGGTAATTCTAGTGATATTGTCGAGAGACTCATTAACGTACCTGTATCGTATTGAGGTCTCGTAATAAATTACGCGATTGAGGTCCCGGTATTTCCGTTGTGACTACCGGCTTCTTTGGTTCTTCCGATGGCGCTCCAGTTAGGCATCTTTTCCACGGAGCCGCGTGTCCTGCATCGAATCATAAAAAAAAAACAAAAATCACTCTTTACTTCATCACGAGTATACGTATACACAAATAAAATTACAAGTGTGAAAAAATACTATTGCCTGTTAAATTAACCCATTAGGACACAATGTTAACGCGACATTTCACTAAAAATTTTTTTTATCCAGTAACATTTTTAAATTTTGTGTTTCATATTGCAGTTACAAAAGAGAATTTCACAGATTTGCTTGATATTTTTTTTGTCACTATTTCTTCCTTCACTTAGATGCTAAGTTTGAGTGGGTCGGTTTAAATGGGAAATCCTGTGAGTTATTTACGTTTTTCAATAAAAAAAATTGCCCAAATTTGCATAAAAATCCCTTGGGACTTATGCATCAAATATTTTTATTTTCTTGTATTTTAGGCCCCCTGTCCGATTAAATTTCCGACGCATACTCGGTTAGAAAAGGAAGAAACATTATACACAATTACGAATGTGTGTCTTCTATTGTTATCAGTCGAATAATTATCCCGTACAGCTCGAATGGAATCGTTTGCCACAATCCCGTAGATCGGTTGCAAGATAGAGGATATACTTAAATCACGATAACATTCAGTGCAACGTATCGCTGCCGAGTGTCGTGTCGACTTAAATCATGTTAAACCCTCGCGTATAATAGACTGCACGTTTAGTTTCATTGATGTCACTTAAGGATAATTGGTTGACATACTGACGCACTTTCACGCAACTTATGCTCGCCACATAACAATACAGATTACATATATCGTTTTCAATTCATTAATGTTAACCATTTGCTAGCTGATTGATACACGTTTCAAAAAACAATTTAACCTAAAAAATTAATTTTTCTATTTGCTGACCTTATTCCGTAACAAGTTGTAACACCATATTATGCTTAATGATTAGTTATTTTTATTATATTTATAATTTAATTTATTGATAGTATATTTTGACAGTAAATTTCAACAGTAGAACTACCGATGATAAATCTATTTCTATCGGAACGATAAACATGACAAATTTTCGAAATTATTCAAATTTACAAATTAACTAATTTCTCCATTTTTATATTACAATGAAAGTTATGAAATATCTGAGAAATTCCATTTCCACCCAAAAATGTTTTAACCAGTCATTTGACTGCTTTAGTAGTTCCAGCGTTAAAGACCAATTGTATGGCATCAAGTTCAATTTTTGTTTCGCAAGAATGCTTCATTCATTTATTTTTCAGTATTTTTGTACCTAAATGTAAATCGAATAACCTGATGTATCAATAAATTTTCGAATAATATTTCGTAATAGCAATTGTCAACGGTATTAGCACACAATTGTCGACAGTTTAAGGGAGCAAGGTTGAGTAAACAGATCACAATTGAAATTCTTATCGTGTTGTTGTATACGTGAACGGCGAAGATGTAATCAAATTTTAAATTTCTTTCTGGAAGCGCAAGGTCAATAAACAAGCTTCTGATATCCAATGTGTGTATGCGTGTACGTGTTCGTAATCACCGAGAATTCGTCCAATCGCGATGTATCCGAGATTTCGATAAGATAAAGTAACGAAGTGGATCTACACGAATTTCGATAAGCAATAAAACAGAGGGAGAGAGAGAGAGTCGAAAAATAAATTGTTCAACTGATCTTATTGGTATATAAGTCCACATATCACGACAGAATTTACTTAAAGCGATTGAAACCACTTCTTTTTATCGTGCGTCTATTACTTTTTTATTTACGTCGTGAGAACACGTGGGCAAACGTGGTGTTTCTACATCAATGGGATTAGGCGATTAAATATACAGGGTGTTTCGTTTATTCTGGATTACTTAATTATTAAGCCACAATTTTATTAAATAAAGAAAATATTAAGGATTAATATCTTTGTTTTTTTTAGTAATACGAAAAATTGTGTTAGGACAAAATTGTTTGGTTCGAAATGATAAATATTGTGTTTCCTGACTCTTTTGTTTCAATGACATTTTTTTCTCAGTTTTCAAGGTTATGGTTACTATTTTTGTACATTAACGTCTGCTTTTTATAATACAACACAAGGACCCTCGAATAACTCTGAATGATAAAAATCACGCTAGGTTAATGTTTTATAAACATTGGAAGCAGCGACGCTGAAAGGTTCTTCAAGTTAAGTTGTAATCTAAAACGCACTTTTTGTGAAAATGCTTCGTAGGTAATGGAAATCATTAAACATTTTGTACCGAAAACGAAGAAAGTTGAATTTTCCAAAATCCTTCAAACTTGCGTGATTTTTAGGTCGTTTTAAGGTCTCGGTGTTGTAGGTCGTTGAATTCGCCTTGAAGTGCACTATAATGTCGCATTATAAAAAGCAAATGTTAATGTAAAAAAAATATTCGTGACCTGGTAAAAGTAAGGAAGATATTAAGGAATCTAAAATAAACGGACCACCCTGTATAATTAACAGGTTGCAGATTTTTATGTGTATACAGATATTAAAATATATTTGCTTACTTTATTAAAGGTTTTAATAATCAAATCAAGTAACAATCTTGTTAAATTTTATACTATACTAAGTTTCAGACAATCAGGTGTGTTACAAATGCATAAAATTGACACATAATTATTATTATAGAACAAAGTCTGCTGCATACTAATAATACAAAAATCAGATCTTTTTGGTTGGTATTCAAATTATAAAAGGATCTTCAATAAACACAACTACAAAACTTTACACGAAGAAGCAACAAAACAATTCGTATATTTTCTAGACAACAGGGCGACGCATGACGTTAAAAGTGTCCATCGTACATATTCAGGCGTGGAATTCAAATTATGTACATATTATATTCCCGATACATTACTGAACATCGTGTGTGTCCCAGTGAGCAGTAAGAGGTAGAACCTATTCACTCTTAACACAAAATGATCCGACGATAGCATTTTGAAATTTCCATAAATCTGTGTGACCAAACTGACATAGAAACAGGGAGGTTTACGATGGAAACCGAGCTATCGATTCTCTGGGTGTATCATGCGCGTAGTGATTTATATTTTCAACGAGTGGTTTTCGGTAACGTGTCACGTTACACCGTGACATCGACGAAACGTAGTATAGAATTATTGTAATGTGATCGTAAATACCATTGATTAATTGCCATGACAAGGTTCGACCGCACAGTACCGCTTGACACTTATTAACGAGCATTTTCTGTTATTCGGCGTCCTACTACGTGTCACGCGAAGGGACAGATTCGCACTGGGGTCCACCTGGTAGATGCTGTGTGCGCTGATCCTTGCGCGCAGGAACCGTTTCTGCTTGCTCCCGAAACTGTACGAATCTTCACGAACCAGTTTATAATACTTCGATCGTAAATATTCAAACCAAACGCGCAACCACGAGATGCAAGTGTTTATGGTCCCGAATGTATGTATATATATATAATTTAAGAGAGGCTTTAAAACGATATTTTCGACGAGCTTAGATGCCGACAGATCGCAGTCGGATTACGATCTGGGTATGAACGCGTCCCACTCTGTATCGATAAAGACGGGTCGAGTCCCCCATGTTCCAATAGGGCGCTTTCGATCGTGCACGGTCATGTACGAAGTTTCACGAATATTTAAACCCAGTGGCGCGTACCTACACTGATTGGCGATTCTTTCACTAATCTATTGTAGCGATGATACTTCTCTGTTTATATTGATCCTACCTCCCCCCCTCCTGTTTTTAACCTAATCAGAGATGTGCGATATTGGTTCCAATATCGATAACGTTTATCGATATATATATTTTTGTTAAATATCGATACATGAAACATATTGTTCAAAAAGTATCGATACGAAAATCCTATCGATTTACCAATTAAAAATAAGCTGCGTATATGCAAAAGAATATCATTTTGGTTAAGAAAGAATTTTCTAAAATAAAAGTTTTTGCACAGTATTAGGAAAATTTGTTATTTAAATTAAGATTCAGAGTATTGAAATGAAAACAAGTAATTTACTTTACAAATAATATTTATTTATTATTCGAAAATATACATAAAAAACTTGTACATTCCACTTATCTAAAGATAAGCAGGTTAAAATTAATTATTGTTGAAAGTGTTGTATAAATATACTGTTTCTTTTTTCGGTTAAAATTAATGCAGCTTGAGAAGACGATCGTATTTATTCTTTTTTCAAGCAGCTTTCTTTTTTATAAAAATGATCGATATCTGTAATTATTATTTTCTAAAATAGCGATATATCGACAGGTAAATATCGATATATGCAGTTATCGATTAATATCGCCCATCACTAATGTCCCTAGACGTTTGACAGCACTTCATGCTGTGAGACATTTGAACCGTTCATTTTTCAGAGTGATTAACTTCATAAAATTTATATTTAAATTTTATTTTAATATATACAAAAAGTTTAATCGCCCATCTAAGTTTTTTGTCCTGTGAACTGTGAACGGCTCATTTGTGAATCTTGGCACTGAAATTTGAAAAAATTGAGAAATGGTGTTAACCACTTAGTCCTGTGAACTGTGAACAACTCATTTGTTAATCTTTGACACGTCGTGGAAGAAAACACGAAATATATTGTTTGTTAATATGAATGTGTTAATAATAAAACTAAGATCAAATATGATGTTATTCAGATATTTTTTAATAAAACTGTAGAACCTGGATTATTCGAATTTATCGAAATACAGGTTGTACAATATCTTATTGATACGTTGGCTGTCACTGTTGTCGTTAATGGACTTTACGAAGTGGAATCGAATAAAAAAATATTTAACTCCTAAACAGTAACATCCACAATTTCGTAAATATAAATAATGATAGAGTAATGGTTCGAATAAAGAGGTCACAAGACAACATGCAAATAGTTATATTCTTAATAGAAAAGACTTAACAGATATTGTTCCAATAGTACTAAATTTTTGCAGTCAATGTGTTAATATATTAATAGAGTCATGTTTGGGTTCACTTTGATTGGAAAAAGCATCACCAACACCTTGGTAATACATTTAAGATGTACAAGACTTAAGAGGATATACAGGGTGTCACACCTAAAGTAAGTACCTTAAATATCTCACTTACTTTTGATTTTCAGAAAAATTATTATAATAAATACTCAAAGTGTTGTCACATTTTTGTCGACACATTGTGCACCAATTCCTCTATTGTAGTTGCTTCATTATTTAAATCTACTTTACATTTGTGCACTTTTCGTACTGAAGGTCAAATGAAGGTCACACTACTATAGGTCATTGGATTGGTCTTGACTTCAATTATTACGCCACGATGATAAAAATATGTAGTCCCATTTAAAAAAACACCGATGACTTAGAAAATTTATCACACTATTTGCCCTTTCCAATCAAATAAGATTGTCTCCTCACATTTTTTTGTACCTCCAAAAACAAGGTAGATACTGAAGGTGCTCACGTTAGATGAGACACCCTGTATATACTTAAAATATACAAAAACTTTTAATACCGCTAGTGTGTTACTCTTTTTGTGCACTTACATAGTTGCGCATCCCCAACGAGGCGCTTCCTGTTGCTCTGTCTCACTTAGACCCTGTACACACTTGGCGATATTGCTACAGAGTCACATACGTATATGTATACAATAAAGTCTGTGGATATTCAGAGATAATGTTCAGATAAATATCGTGAATGCAAGCCCAATATATAGCTATTGGAATTTTATTACAAAAAGCTGATCCGAGAATCGAAATAAGGTATATTAAATTATTAAAGAGAGTTTTAAGTATCTGCAGGGCATTAATTGTCGGTAATTTCGTTCAGATTCTAAACCAAACTTGATTTTTATGATCTTAGTGTTATCCATAGGAGGAGCTCCTTACAGGCTATCCACAACTCATTTAGTCTGTATATTAATTCTGATACAGTAAATCCTGGATGAGTGTTCGAAGGCTCCGTTTTAATGAGGTTTAGCATAGTGACAGAGCTTGGAATTCTGAAGTCAATGATGTTTGTTTCAGCCGTATGTGGCCATTAGTTTATGAAATATTTCACGTTTCCTTCGAACACTTATCGAGGAGTTACTGTATATAGCATTATGTACACACATTGAGCTTTATCTTAACGATCGACTAATGTATTAAAAAGTACATGATTCTATTAAAAAGAATAAAGTTGACCTTTATATGTCCTCTGCACCTCCAGCTACAAAACAGATGTGCGATTTGTGGGTCTGAAAGGAAACACACATAGATAAGGTGACTCCATTTCGCCCGTATTTTTCATTGTTTTATAATGAATTATATTCTTAGTTACATATATTGCAAATAACTCATGTTTCCACATATTTTTTACTGCATTTTTAAAATTTTTGTATCTATTGTACAAAAACAATTACATCAAATTACATTCCCTTTGAGACCAATTAACTTTTGTTCGAAACATTTTCTGATATCACGAATAATTTCGGAGAAATTCGAGGGAATCTACTGAAATGGGACACCCTGTATATTTTGGATCACTTTTGTTACTTGACATTGTCGTATGTGTTGTCCATCGAGCGTCAATATCTCCCAGACAATATTGATTTCAAAAAGTCAACAATAATTTCGTAATGTCTTACGTCATATTCGATAAGTGTCCTAATACTTATAAACGGGAGTTTACATGACTTGTCAATCAATTCGAACGCTGGACGTACTACAATATTTTTGTTTCTCATTTTCAATCGTTTAAATTTTAGAATTAATTTTGTTTCTACATTGGGAATAACAAATCAATAGACGTTAATAGATACCGACGATAATACATAACTTTCCAACGTTCATTTTTTTCGTTAATGAATGCACTTCGATAAGTTTAAGGCGTTCACGTTCATCGATACACGTAACAAGAAAAAACAACATACAAATAGGCTCGAGAAATTGGCTTTCCCCTTTGTACAGTTTTTGTCAACTTGGTTTTAAAATACCACACTGCTTTTCGTGCCGCGAATGACAATACAGGTATCAATTATTGTAACGTACTACGGCAGAGAAAGTAAAATTTCGGTGTTTGTTCGTAATGTGATGTGCTATTAGGGGGTCCAGCAACTATGAAGCCCTGAAAAATGATCATTTTTTGGGATTTTGATTTCAGTGAACGAAATATTCAACATAAATGAAGTGTTGTCTATTTATTAATATACTTACTGAGAGTATAAATAATTTTTTTGAAACAGTTTTTTTTATTTATATATCGCATTGAAGTGAACGCTTTGAAAGAATTATCTAGTGTTGGCGTAGGTGATTCCGTGAAAACGAAGTATCAGAATAAAAAAATTCGAACTGATTTTTCAATTTCAATCAAATTTATTTTGAACCGAAATTATCTTGACCGTCAAAATATAAAGAAAATAGCGGAGGTTTAAAGCTCAAATGTCGAAATTTGGTGAATTTTTTTAGTCATTTTGTATTGTAAAGAGTATGAAATTGTTGATCAAAAAAGGTTTCCGTGGTCCCTGCGATAGCCACTGATGTGCTGAATAACACGTACAAATTTCAGACTAAGCAAGTTTTTTTTAAATATATTCCAATTGTACCAATTTAATAAAGTTCTACAAAGGGTTTGGTAAAGTCTTAATTGTTTCTAATTTAATAGTACAACTATCTTGTTGCACTTGACTGCACTTTAATTCTTCCGTATGTCAATAGGACTTGTTGGAATTCAAATGTAGGTCTTATTAGAATTTGAAAGAATTCATGTGAAAGACTTTTTTCGATTCGAAAGAATTCTAATGCAAGTTAATTCAAGTCAAGTACAACAAGACCGTTGCACTATCAAACTTGGAACGGTGAAAACGTTACGAAACTTTTTGGAAAACTTTATCCAATTGATACAATTACAATTGACACTTGCACTTGAATTGTTCCGAATTCTAACGAGTGTTATTGGAATCCACAAGAATTTAAGTGCAGTCAAGTGTAAGTGAATTCTAGTCAAGTGCAACAAGACAGTTCCATCGTCACATTCGGAACAATCAAATCTTTACTAAACTAATTGAAGAACATTACTTAACTGGTAAAATTATTTTGACTCTTCCGGAGTTGGACCTGCCCCCGATTTTGTGGAAAGCTTTATACAACTGTGCAAATAGAATTGATTCAAACTGACTTGCACTTGAATTCTTGCGAATTCCAATGAAAATGGCACTTGAATTCTTCCGAATTCCAACAAGTCTCATTGGAATTCGGATGACCCGAAGACTCCTTCGATTTGCTGCTGTTTTTTTGGAGAACTTTATTGAATTGGTGGAAATGGAATTGATTCAAACTGACTTGCACTTGCATTCCTTCGAATTCCAATGAAAATGGCACTTGTATTCTTTCGAATTCCAATGAGACTTGCACTTGAATTCTTTCCGATTCCAATGAGACTTACATTTGAATTTTT